GAAGGGCCAAGAGCTGGAGGACCTCGGGGGTCCTGGCCCTGCCCCATGCACTTGTGCGATCTCGTCGCTTCGTTGGAGGGGAAGGAGCCTGAGATTGCAGGAGTTAATAAGGCCATTTTCAGGAGGGGCGTCCACACCGGCTTGTCAATCCCACGCCCTAGGCGAACCACAAGTGTGAAGGTGTGGAGCCAAATAGAAGAGAAATAAATGCAGGTGCACCCCTGAATTCTGGACCCAGCCCTGCCACCTGCTTACTCCCCAACCGTTCTTCTCCCTAGGGGACGCTGCTCTCTCCCTGCAGCTCTGGCCCGAGGGTGATCCCCCAGTCCCTTCCTTATCCAAGAAGGGCTGGAACATTCACACACACTTCACCGAAGGCTTGGGAGTAGCAGAAGTAAAGACAAGGAAGGCTGTGAGTCTGGAGAAGAGGGTAAACAGACGGCTCACATCTGGGGCTGGTTAGAGCCCCCTCGTCCAGGCGCAGAGTGGGAGGCGCCCAGGGAGTTTTTCCCAATCCCTCAGCGGGGCTTCTCTATGTTTTCATTTCCTCTCATCCCTTCTGGAGCAGGCGTGGAGGCGAGTCAGGGAGTACATGCCTTTTGACCAAGCAAGTCAGCTTTCAGGAGTCAGAAAAGGATGTATTCAAGGATGTTGAGTGCCCCTGTCTGAGATACTGTGATAGCTCTGTGTGTGTGTGTGTGTGTGTGTGTGTGTGAGAGAGAGAGAGAGAGAGAGAGAGAGAGAGAGAGAGAGAGAGAGAGAGAGAGAGATGTTTAACACCAAAACAGGTCTAGACGCATAGGGTCCAAACTGTAAGCTCCATGGAAGGAAGGGAGTGAGGAAGACAAACTTTCCTTCTGCTCACTTTATCTACTTCTGCTTAGTGTGATTGCTTGTTCTTTTTTAAATTTTTTACTGTTTTCCAGCACGTATTCATATGTCAACTACAGAACATGTCATTTCAGAACGACACCTAACAAATTACATCTTACAAAGTTCTGGAAGTTAGAGGACTGACCCGGATGAAGTCTGATGCCATTGGCTGGCAGAGGCCTGCATCCCCCTCGGTTTTCATTCGTCTGTGGCAGGGGTCCGCGACCTCCAGGTCAAGGACGGGTACCAGTCCAGACCTGATAGGAACCCGAGGCTCAGGATGTGAGCCTGAGTACAATGCACTTGAATCATCCTCAGACCATCCCCCCAGCCACCCTAAAAAATTGTCTCCACGAAACCAGTTTCTGGTGCCAAAAAGTTTGGGGACCATTGGTCTGGAGGCAGGCCTGGAGCAAGTGACACGGGACGGAGCCAGGGGAAGGGGGCTATTCCAGGCGTTTGACACCAGCTAGTCCGTTTTATCTGTGTGAGCTAGAGAAAGTTAATCCCAGATTTACAGGAGGAAGGAAAGTTTCTCGGAGAGGAGAGGAGCAGCAGGCTTGGGTCCCAGACCTCAGGGTACAGGTGCTGTCCCGCCTTCGGCTGCTTCCAGCCCGGTTCAGAGGGGGAATGCAGGGGGACAGTGGCACGGTCTTCGAATGCCAACCGCTTGGTGGGGAAGGCAGTAAAGCCAGGAGGGAGAATGGTTGTATGCCCAGCTCAGGGGGCAGAGGTGTAGAATCGAACGAGGTTTGGATTTCAGATGAACGAAGCACTGTGGGACTGCACATTTTCACGTCTCTGGTGAACCTGGGAGAGGGGGCCGTGAGGGCTGAGGGGGGCCCTGGGAGTGGCCTGCGGCAGTGGGGTGGGCTGGGCCCAGGGCGGCGCCTGTTCCTTGGTTGGACTCCTTTCCCAGCCCCACTGACCTCATGCCTGAGTCGTAGGAGCGAGAGCTGCAGCCAACATTCAACTATAACTCTGAGCCTTGTGGGGGTCAAGCTGCTCTGCTTGGGGGTCTCCACATGCAGGGGGAATGGATTGGGGTGTTGGGTGCGTTCTGTGTGCTACAGAACTCCCAGGTGCCCACGTGTCTGGCATAGTGAAGGGTTCCTCCCTCCAGCAGGAAGATCATTCACGGGCTCCTGAGATACCTTCCAGTGGGGGGATTCTGGGTGGGTGCCTGGGAGTCCTGGGTGAGCCCGTGGGGCACAGGGTTTACTCTGGACAGTGGGGGCTCTTTTGTGTCCACTGTCACTGAGGCCTGGGGACTGGATTCGCGGGGTATTTCAGGACCTCAAGGTGCAGGTTATAGCCAGAGAGGGAGGGGTGGGGGGAATTGCTAACAGGCAGTTGAGGCTGAGATGGGGGGCTTGTGACTTCCTGAAGGGTCACAGGCTGAGTTCCTGAGTATGAAAAAGGTGTATGTTGAGGTGTTGCTCTGTGTCCCCCAGAAGCAGGTGGAGATGACTTCTGCTTTCCTGTCTGCTCCTGTATTGTTCTCAGCCTTAGGTCTCTAAGCCTAGGGCCCCTAAATTGCAGAGGTAGAAATCAGTCTATGCTGCTGTCCAGCAGTTCTCTGGGAACAGAGAGGGTAAGTGCCCAGCTTGGGCTGGCCCAGCACAGCCCAGGGGTCCAGTGAGGTGGGGTGGGGGAAGAGCATCCTCACGCCCCTGATTAGCACAGGGCTCAAGGATTTCCAAGGGGAGGCCAGGACACCTGCCAGGGGAGGGCCCAGAGGGCTGGAGCAGCCTGGAGCCCCAGAAGAGCCAAGGTCAGTGGGAATCATCAAGGCCGGACTCCTCAGCGAGGCGGGGAGGGGAGGACTGAGGGCCCAGGATAGAATTCCATGCACTCTAGTGTCTCCAAGCATTTTCTTTGTGAGCTCCTCTTTATTTAAAAGAGTCCAGATTCTGCCTGGAAAAACCAGCTTCTAAAATCTGCAGAAGGAAGATGGAGGACAGGCTGCAGTTTAGGTGGGATAGCAGGTGATAGTAAAAATCTTTTCCTGCATTTTCCAAGACATCTTCATTGACCGGCTGCTGCTATTATAAGGTAGGGAGACACAAGTGTTACTGTTGCTCAATGTGCTTAAACTTGATAATGGAGCCATGTGCCAGTGGTTCTGGTCCCCTCAGCAAGTAATGAAGGTGAATAGCACAAGCTGCCCTCGGTTCCTGGCTTTTCTGCTCTGCTGCTATGGGGGAATGGCCCAGGGTGCCCCTTAGGCTGGAAGACTGGGGCTTGAGGGGCTCTGAGGTTGCGGATCTTGGGGTCCCTGGAGCCTAGGCCACCACCAGAGACCTGGCACTTGGGCTGTGCCACAGTCTCAGTGCCTCGCAGGGACTCCAGCCTGGAACTGCCTCCAGGTCTTTACAGCAGCCAGCCTGAGGCCAGAGCTGGCACCTCCGAGTCTCTCCAGGGCCCTGTTATGAAAGGTGCGGACTGCAGCAGGGGAAAGGAAGGGACCAGCCCCGTGGTGGTCTCCGTGGACTCACAGCTGCGGGGAGGGTGGGAGCAGGGGTGGTCCGAGGTGGGCCGTTCTGGGGTACGATGTTTTGGACACTCAGGGTTGAGGCCCTTTTGGGCACAGAGAGCTTAAGTGACTCGCCCAAGGTTAAACAGCAAGCTGGTGGATGGGGTGAATGGAGTGCAGTCTGGAGTCTTCACATCTCTCCCCTGCACAGTAGAGCCTGACTCTGCTTCTGCAAGCAGGGGGTCTTTGAGGTCTCCAATGTCCCGAGGTGACCAGTCCTTTGAGGAAGTCCTGAGGGGAAGCGGGGTGGGGCCCACCTGTCACAAACACAGCTTCTAAGCATGGCAGCCTCCCAGTCGCAGGTGCTGCCAGGCGGGGCGCTCCAGATCTTGGCTCCAGAGGTAGCGCACAGGGTTATGGCCCGGACAACGACACTGAGACTCCGGCTGGAATGGAACTCAGAGTGAGGGCGCCCTCAGGTCCCTCTCACTGTCACCCCAATGGGGGTCCTCCCGCGGGCCTCTTTAAGGACTCAGTGGCCTGATCCAAGTCAGCTGCTAAGGTAGAGAGCTGGGACTTGAACCCGGCTGCTCTTGTTCCTGGTCCAAAGTCTGTGTGCCACATTCAAAACATCAAGAGTTTTGAGTCTGGAAAGGTTCGTTGTTGGAGAAAGTGCCAAGAATATGGGAGCCCTGCGAGATCCTCAAATCTGTCTTCACGTACCGAGTTCAGGCTTCTTTTAGGTTGGGGAAGGGGGATGTGGGAGGCGCTGTTTTTGTAAAACTCGAGAGAGGAAGACAGAGTCTGAGGACTATTTCCCCGTCGCAATCAGGGTTTTGGTAGCCCGAGGTCGCAGCCCCCGTCCGCGCGGCCGTTCGTCCTTGGGCCAGTCCCTTCCCCGCTCCGGGCGGCGGGCTCGCGCGCCTCGCCGCCGGGGCCGCGCATGCGCAGTGTCGGCGGCCCGGGGAGGCGGCCGTGGCGGCGCCCCAGCTGCTTTGCATTGACGCCAGCCGCCGGGGGTTACAGCCCGGCCTGGGCGGGGCGTGCTGCCTTCGAAACTCGGCGGAGCGCGGAGCCCGCTCCCCGCCACCGCCCGCAGCTCCCGGGGAGCGCAGCCGCTCCTGCGGTTCCCGACGGCGCGGCCCGGGCCGGCGGATCGGCGCTCCCGACCTCCCACAAAGGCGGCCGCGCCTCACCGCCTCGACGGGCTCGACTCAGCCGCCGCCCTCCACGGCGGAGCCTCTGGGCCGGCCGGGCCGCCCTCGCCGCCGGCGCTCGGACGAGGGGACTCTCGGGCTGCGAGCGCGCAGATCTCCGCCCTCGAAATTCCCCGGAAGCGCGGCCCGGGCGATGTGAGGGCGGCCGGCGCTCACCGCCTCAGGAAGGGCATGTTCGGAGGGGCGGCCGCGGCGCGCCGCCCGCCTCAGCGCCCCCTGCACTCGACCGCCGCCGCCGCGCCCGCTGCGCGCTGAGAGGGGCGGCCGCGCTTCCTGACGGGAGACCCGCGCTCACCGCCCGCACGCCCGCCCAGGCGGCGATGACCCGGCGCCCGCGGCGGCCCCGAGGCGCCGGGCGGGCCGTTTGCTGAGCGGATAGCGGCCGGCCGGCCGCCCGCCAGCCAGTCCGCGGCGCCGCCGCCGCCGCCGCCAGCATGGGCTGCGCCCCAAGCATCCACGTTTCCGAGAGCGGGACTCTGTACCCCAGCGGCAAAGAGGCCGAGGACGCGCCCGGCGCCGCCGGGCAGCGCCTCCCTCACGGCCGAGAGACCACCGCCTCGCCCGCGACCAGCGGTCCCGGCCTCGCGGCGTCCGAGTCTCGCGGCGGCGGCAGCAAGACGGTAAGCGGCGCCGGGCGGGCGAGCGGGAACTTGTCCTTAGGGCCGGGCACGGCTGCCTCCGGGCCGCGGAGCCCCGTCCGCGGTTTCGGGGGACTCTGACGACCGCCCACAGCCCGTTCCGCGGGGCGGTGTGCCCGGGAGGCGCGCCCCAGGCCCCGGGTCCTGGTTCGCGGACCCGAGGCGAGGCCGCGGTGCGGGACGCCCTCGACGCCCGGAGCCTCCGGGCCGTCCGTGAACTTGAGGCGCTCGAGTCCCTTCCCTCCCACCGGGCGGGACGTGAGCCCGCGGGACGCGGGGTGTGCGCGGACTTTGTGCTTTCGGTTCTCGCGGCGGAGGGGCGGGAGGCTCGCCGCCCAGTCGGCCCGCATGCACGCGGGGCGGCTTCCGCTGGGCCCGCGGACCAGTAACGCGTCCGCTCCGAGCGCTGCGCGCGCAGCAGGTGTCGCGAGGCGCGTGCAGGTGCTCCGAGTGCACGTGCGGCGGAGGCAAAGCTGCGGAGGGAGGCCTTCGGCAGCTCCTGGTTGTAAGCGGTCTTACTCCCGGCACACACGGTGACTTTTTTTAAATTGCATGTTTCAGTGTGCATTGTCAGTTTCTGGGGCTTAATCTTTGTTAAGGTTTAGGTTTTGTTCGCGTGATTTTTTTGTCTGTTTTTTGTTTTTGTGTGTGTGTGTGTTTTCATTTTCAAGGAATGCTTTTTTTTTTTTAAGAAAAGAAAAATCTTCAGTAGGGCACACAGCCGTTTTCCAGTTCTTTGGTTTGGAATGTTACAGCTGGGATTTGGGCGTTTATGTTTTACTAAACTAGGGAAGGCAAGTCTTCGTGTGTGGCCGCAGGTGGTTTGAGATCGTCCCTTTCACCCCGGCTGCTTAAGAGTCATTTGCAAATTAATTGGCTTTTCTCTTTTACTGAGCACTGCTGGACAACGCGCCCCCCCCCCCCCCCCCCATTTCAGAGCTCTAGTTTGGTTCACTGTCTTAAAGTTATATTAAGTAGTCCTAATACTTTTCTGTGCGAAAGTGAAAAGCCATCTTCAGTAGTGCACAACATCGATGAAGTGATTTAACTGCCCCCCGCATCCCTCCAGTGCTCCCCGAGAAAACTCACCTTTTCCCCACTCTCAGAAGCTGGGTTCTTCCTACAGATTCCTCGAAGCCGCACCCCCGGCAGTGGTTTTAAACTATTAACCCAGGCTGCTGTAAATATCCACGTAGAGCTTTGTACAGTACGTCTACTTGACTGGCTTAAAAAAGAAAGGGGGAAAAAAACCTATTACACAAATGAAGTTTGAATATGAAAGCTTTTTACAGCTTTCAAGTTGTTTGGCCCAAGTCAGCTACGGTGCATGAACTACTATGCAGCGTGTGGGTCACTGGAACAAGGCCTTCGTGTCTCGTTGACCTCTCTGTGGTAGTGTGTGCCTGTCCTCAAACTCACGGAGGTGTCTTGTAAGCATTTCCAGTGCGGCAGCTTATTCATCACTGGTCACCTGCAGTGCCTAGATGTCTCCTGAGTCTCTGAGAGTCTTACATATTTCATCCTGCTGTCAGACTAGTTTGATTTTGGTTCCCACAAAAATCCATTTATTATTGCAGTGCTTCATCCAGTGACGTGCATAGAGTAGGGGCCAAATAAATGTTTACAGAATGTGATTCGTTTTTGTTGTGAACAGAATGATGACACTTTTCCAATCAGTAACATTTGATTCCATTAAGCTTCCAATATGTCGGCTTAAGACTATGATTATATTATTATATCCAGAGGAAGAGTGAAATTGTAAGTGACAACGCCACAGCCACAGAAATACCAGTCTCATGCCTGTGACTCACGAACTCTGCCACATCTCCGTTACAGGTGTTTGCAATTAGACACGTCAGGTAACCGGGCAGAGGTGAATGTTAGTCTTTTTGTTTGATACTGTTTCTTTAAGGGAATCTATTAAATATGCTCTGGAAATTTAGATGTACATGTTCGGAGAAGAAGATAAACTTCCAGCAACTTAGCAAAATCACATTTTCCAGTTATTCTGAGGTCCTTTTGTTAATGTATCAAGATCCATTTAGTTCATTAACATTTTTCTTCTTAAAAAATACTGCACATCAGCATGGTGTTGAGTGATTTTCAAAAAGAAAGTGAGGGAAGTTTTTATCTTCCAATAGCATGTAGTAAACACCAGTTCATCAGAATGTTTGGGAGATTGACATTAATTGCATTTTCAGGTTGATTAAGAAGCAATGTATCCCCTGCACTGTGGTATATTCCATTTGTGTTCCCTGAAAGAGTATTAAATTAAAAAAAAAAGGTTTGTGGTCAAATAAGTTCAGGAGATACTGGGTCAGACTAAGTTCTGCAGATTTCTTTCTTGTAGGAGTTGTCACCAAACTGAATATTCTAAAATACACTGTGAATCCCCAGATGGGTTAGGGCACACAACACTCTCCAACCCGTTGGATTATGGAGCCGTTTTACTGGGATGTATCTTAGGCAGACCACATGTTAGGACCTGAGAGACCACAGTATTCAAAGTACATGAACTATACTTAGCAGTAAAGCTCAATAAACATAATACGCCTCTTAATGATTCCAAAGGTACTTTAGGATCTTCTAGTACGTTAGGCTGGGTCTTCTTTATGAACTTACATTACGTATAACTAAAAATACCCTGACCGTGGATTCTTTGCGGGAGTTACAGTCTGTGTGGTTACGGATGACGAATGCCGTGTTCAGTGTGAACACTGAAAGTTTTGTTTTTAATCAGAATGAGCCTTCACTGTAACAGTTCAGTGTTTTCTTGTCAGTCTCTGGATTTCCTCTGTTTTCCCTTTCCTTAGCTAGGACTTGAGTCGCCCTTGAAAGAGCTGAGTGTGGGGCAGGAGTGTCGGAGGAGATCCTGTGTGCTCACTCTCCCACCCTTTTTGCAGACACCGAAAGCACTGCCAGTGATTAACACCCTCCCCACCCCACTCCGGGAGGTGGCAGTCCCCTCCGTTTCATTCACTGCTGTAACGCTGCCCACCAAGGCCTTCCACAGCCGTGGATTTAATTGGGGGCTTGTGTGAACCAGGCTGAGGAAGTACGGAATCCACCCAACCCATAAAAAAGGAGAAATAGAAACCAGTTTTAACCAGAGTGGAGGCTCTAGAATTTGGATTTGGTTTTGAGGAACTCTCTGGTTTATTTGCACCCAGGGAACCATCTGTTTCTACCCTGGTGAGCAGAGCAGATTTCCCGGTGAAGGTTGAAGGATTCGTGCTGCCGGATGAGCAGGACACAACAGGTGACAGATGATAGTAGTGTGACCACACTAACCGAGCGAGGGTCACCGCCTCCAGCACTCAGGATTCTCTGATTTGTCTGTGTCTAGTCTTTGCTTCCCTCATTCTTTTTTCGTCACCTCGCTTTCTTTTTACTTTTTCTACCAGCGTCCCTGTCTTCTTGCTTTTTCTTACCAGTCCACCTTCCTTCACAAAACTGGCTAAAACTTACCATCTTAGTCAAGTAAAGTGGAGTAGTTTCTCAGTGTTTCTTAGCTGTGGCATAAAATTTGTTGCCTGCTCTTAATCTTACCAAGTGGATTAATCAAGTTTTTATATTTCCCTAAACAAAGCAAATTTTGCTTTGTGTGTGACCTGACTGGTTCCCCACCCCCCCCTTCACAGATTATATGGAAGTACCAAAAGCTTCCTTGGACAGTGTAGTTAAGAAAATGAGACCCTCTTTCTGTTTCTGAAATAAGTGACTGTAACTTATCTCTGGAGCTCAAGGGCTGCGAGTTCTCTCATTATGGTGTTCTTGTGCCTTTTGGTGTACATACAGAATCCTATTTTGTCAGGCCTAGCTGTAAAGATTTGGCTTTCTATGTTCATTGAATACTTTGCATTTGTATTACATTTTATTTTACTGCTTAATGTTGTCACCATCATTAAAAATATGCTTCTTAAGATAGATGTTGTGAATGTCAACTCTTATCAGCTCAGCACTGCTCTCGGCTGGCCTTGACCCTCTCCTTGTTAAAGGGACCACAGGCCCCTTCTGGCACAAATGTTCCCTGGGAAGCAGCTTATGACGCTGTTTGCCCTTGGATGGCTCATACATTTGGATTGGGTTCTTCAATAGGGAAGCTTGGTGATGTGAGGCAGGCATCTCAGAGTAACCTAAAATGCCTTAAAGGAACAAATAGTTTTAAAAATTAAAAATATCAAAGAAAAGAGAGAGAGAGCAGTTACTTAGGACATGACTAATCCCTTGGTCTTGTCCAAGGTCAGTGACTTCAGCCTGGTTTCTCAATATACCGAGAACAGTAGGTGTGTTGGACTCTGAAGTTCTTAGAGTGCAAACTATTCATATTAATAATACCCACAATTTCTTGGATGCCTTCTCTGGGGCAGGCGCCGTGCTGGATGCCTTACAAATGTTACCTCATTTAGTCCTTGGAGCCCTGTGAGGTGCCTGCTACCACTTCCCTTTTGCGGACAGGCAGCCGAGGTTGGAAACTCACCCAAGGCCACACAGTTAGGCTGGGACTCAGATCCATTGTTCCTGGCCCCCCCCCCCACCTCCACACTCCAGGCTGTTGCTCTCTGGTAACTACCTCTCTCTCCATCAGGTCTCCCATTCTCTGGCTGTCCGATAGGCTATAGGTGTCACAGGTCACCTGGGTTTTAAGCAAGTGTCCTAAATCTATGCACGTTGTCAGGGTTTTGGAAGTCTTCACTTCCTGGGGAACTTGCTTCCAGCCCTACCTGAGGTTCCCGTGTTTGTGGAAGTCGCAGCTATATTCAGCCCAGTGCCAGTTAACTCCTGAAGTCGGGCATCTTGTCCTCTTTCCTCTGAAATGAGCTGGCAGGCGTCCCTCTCCCTCTCACTGGGGCTGCAGGCAGCCTTCCTCAGCCAAGAGCTCCCGTAGAGCCCGTTCTTCCCACCATCAATTTCTGCCTGGAGTGCAGCCCCTACCCACTTCTGCATGTACAAACCTCAGGGTTATTCGGGGCACGGTTGAA